CTTTGGTTTGAAATTGTATTCCCTCTCATTAATCCCTTTTTTATGTTATGCATGTGTAGTGCGTGGGTTGACATTGACATGCATATTTCAGCTGCATCGAGCATTACAGTGGCTGCCTACTAACATCATTTGCAATCACAATCAATTGCGGATTATGAGCATTTTTTTTTAAGCCGGAAGGTGTTTCGTGTCGAGTGACAAGTTCGAACTTCCTTTTAATGTACTAAAGTCCTTTGGAATAACTGCTCTGTCGCTCTGGTTGAAAAAAGTGGGAATTATGAAAAAACCTTGTACGAAGTTCCGTGAATCAATTTTTGAAGCTGTCTGCTGCATTTTGCACTTTTTCTACATTCATGAGATAATCCGATTACCGTTTACATTAATGAACGCATTTCACATGTTTTCACAGTTAACTGACAGGCAACACCCGAAACACTGCACCCCTGAACCTGAATCTGAAACTGAGGCTGCGGCTGACGCCGATGCTGTTTCGGATGCGAAAGGAAGTGCAAGCACAGCAAATGAACAGAAAGGAATACAAAACATCACAACACATACCATATTTGACGGATGCAGTTCGGGCCTCTGCATGTGTGCGTGTTAATCTCTAACTCCGCAGCGGAGGGGTGCTGCGGTGCTGTTGGAACTCTTTATTATAAGTGGAAAAACGATTTTCAAGCGTCTAACGTAATTGGATTTCGATGACTGCAAATTGGTGATAATTTTGATTGTGTCAGGGCAACCGCATGACAAACGTTCCGCATAAAACAGAAATATTTAATGGCCACATTTAATGGACTTTATGAGAGGATAGCAAAGTTCTGTTATAAATTTTTAATTCAATTTTTTTTTGCATATATGTATAGCATCCAAAATACTTATATAAACAATTGACTAATATAAAATCATATTAAAAATATATATACATTTAAATTGAGAATTATCTGAAAATCACACTTTTTATAAATTCTGTTTCAGGTGTAACGACAACTTAAGAAAGTCAATATGTTTTCACCATCTCAAAAATGTATAGTTTCAACCAAAATATCCTATACGAAGAGTATACTATAACAAATAATCTCCAGCAGTGGCAGAGCTAGACTAACTCTGGACGTTGGCAGCATCAGAATTGCGGGGTCCCTTTCATTTCTGAGTTATAAAAGTAAATAATTTATATTCACTAATACGAGGAAGCATGTATGAAACTTTTATTGCTAATCAAATTTAAATAAACACAAATTAAAATAAATGAATATTCCTCCTTTAAGCCTTACTGCATTTTTTTTAAAATATATCATAATTTGCCCTAGCTGATATATTCGCTTAAATAGATAGAAATGTCATTGCAGCTAACATAGTCTCTCTTGGCTCGTCGTACCTTTCAAGTACGTTTCTAACTTCTGTATTTTAACTTTGAGAAGCTTCTTTTAGCAGAGGCTGTACTGAATGGAACTGTGAACATTCGAATATTCTTTCTTTTAAATATTTTCTTTCGGATGAGTTGCTTTATATCGTTGTTTGAGACTAATGAGTTAGTTTTTGAAATCAGTTCAAATAGCTCAAAAAACTTAATGTCTCTGATTTCACCTTCCCAAAGTATTACACCTTAAGCATTAGAATGTACATAAACAGTACAACTAGATTGCTCGTGACTAGAAGTAGATGGTTGCTTGACAGTTATTGAAATATAGATAGTATAATCTTGTTCACTCTTAAGAAGCCCTATAGTTTCAGACCACCTAGTCATTCACAATGCAGCTAAGCTAATAAGATATAATACTACAATATGGTAATACAATGTTTTATATATGGCCTTCAAGCTGAACTGTGAAGAATGTGCGCATTTATATCACACCATGATCATTAATAATACAGCTCACATGTTAATATGTAATACTACTAATACATAATAATACATAATACGAGTATTATAAGGTTGGTCGATACATTCAAGTATGGGCATGGTCAATCCGCATGTATTGCATTAACTTCAGATGCCTTAAAATTGAACTGCCTGATAATGTGAAACTGTATGACCTATCCGAGGTCATATAACACCATCCACATATCCTACATAATACCCTACCAATGCTTTTTAAGTTATGCATTGCATTTGCATATCTCTATTGATTATTATCCTAGTACTTAATATCAGATTATAATTGAATTCTCCATTATAAATCATTAGATTTGATGATTTGATTAAAAAAAAATTTTGTATATTTTTTTTATGACATAACTGTTTAACTTCTCCTAAATATCCACGTGCACCGGGTCTATAAATCACGCAATTATCAACACAAATAAACACAATTTAAGAGTCGCATGCAGCCGCAGGCATTTGTAGAGTGAAGCCGCTCAGCAGGTCGCACAACCGCGAATGGGTAATGCATGTCTCTCCATCTCCTGTTACCAGTGACTGTTGTTCTGTTTATCTATTGGTCTATCTGTGCTGTTCGCTTGACAGTTTGCATGTTTATTTGTCTAGGAAGTTTTGGGCCTGTTCGCGAGTGCTGTGCACGATGATAACAAGATTTGTTAGAAATTATAATTTTCATTTATTTTTTAAAATGAGAATTTCACTCTTAATTAAGTAGAAAAG